CAAAGAGAATACCAGGTAACAGGCTGTCAATACCTGAAGGAAATGAAATAGCACTCTGAATTAGGACAGATGAAGATATAAAGACTGGAGTGACTGATTCTTGGGAATAAAACTCATGATCCTTAAGAATGGGTGTGGACTTTACACAGGAAAACAGCCTTTGAGAAGCATAATAAGGAACATCCTATTGGGGTTTGGTCTGCAAAGAAATTGAATAAAAGTTTGAATCCTTTGGGATCAGGGTATTTCTTAGCCAGGAAGGAGGGCCTTCTGGGAGTGAAGATGAAGAAAGTGATTATAAAGAAGGTAAGAGATGGTCAGTGGCAGTGGTCCTGTTGATCAATAAATTCTAGTCTCAGGTTCCTGAAGGGGAAATGCCTTTAAATAGTCCCAATCCATGTCTACTTACCCAACCCCAATGGAGAATAGAGTGAGGAATATCTGGAAGACCTTTTTATGTGAGAAAATAATTTATAAATTTTATTCTTTCATTCATTTTTGTTTTTATTCAAGTATTTATAGAACTTTACCTAGAGTCCCCAGTTTTCCTCTCTGGCTTGCTAGAAAAATCTTGCACAGACTCAGATTCCCAAGAGTCTATGATGAGCTGAAAGGCCCATTTGCTTTTCTTTGTCTAGAGTGCTTTTATTTGCTCTTTAAATATAAATTTCCCTACAGATTGTGGGCTGATTTCTGTGGCTCTGGTAGCACCACACATTCATCAAATTCTACTATGCAAAATCTTCAATACCATAACCCAGGACGAATCTACAGACCACCTTAAGCCTTTCACAGAAGACCTACTAGCATGTTGGTTGTTTGGCTGGCCCTCCAGTACCGCATCATACACATGCCCTTACAGAAAGGAGGCCTGGACATTTACCCATGAGATACAGGTGTGCTGTTTCTTAGGGACACATGCATCCCCATGTTTATAGCAGCACTATCAACAATAGCCAAAGTATGGAAAGAGCCCAAATGTCCATTGATGGATGAATGGATAAAGAAGAGGTGGTAT